CTTATGAGGAGATTATTAAGCTTCAGAATTCGAAAAGGAGAAGCTTTAAAGCTATTGAATTAGGGAGTGAAGAAACAGCTAGAGTTTTAGGTCAAGTGATTGATACTTTGGGTTTAGCTCCTGTGCATTTGGTTCTTCATGATTCAGCTTTAGGGTTAGCTTCGAATTGGGTGTCCGAGAATTCGCAAAGTGTTCGAAGTGTAACACTTATTGACTCTAGTATTAGTCCAGCTTTGCCGTTGTGGGTTTTGAATGTACCGGGGATTCGAGAGGTTTTGTTAGGGTTTTCGTTTGGTTTTGAGAAGCTAGTGAGTTTCCGTTGCTCAAAGGAGATGACTTTATCGCAAATTGATGCTCATAGGATACTTTTGAAGGGAAGAAATGGGAGGGAAGCTGTTGTTGCTTCGTTAAAGAAGCTAAATCATAGCTTTGACATGGCACAGTGGGGTAATTCAGATGGGATCAGTGGTATTCCGATGCAAGTGATATGGTCTAGCGAAGGGTCTAAAGAATGGAGCGACGAGGGCCAACGTGTAGCTAAGGCTCTTCCGAAAGCAAAGTTTGTCACACACTCAGGCACCCGGTGGCCTCAGGTTAGAGATTCTTTGGACTTCTAAGTCATTTTAGCTTTATTTTGGTCAAAGCAGAAGGTTTTGTGTTTATACTAAAATCAAGTAACGAAATTCAACTGAATCGAGTCTAGTGTGTAATGAGTAAGGTTATAGCAAACTTTAGAGCGTCGGAGCAAAGCATCTTTAGCTCTATAGCCTATTTTTGTGCTGCTTGACTTGTTTGAAGAATGCAAACTTGTGGGTTTCACATTCATTTGATATACATGTTGAGGTTTCTAGTTGTAAAATAGAAATGTCACATTAATCTGAAATCTTGACGTTTCCGATTAGATGTAGAGTTCTTACTGGCACTTGAATCATTGAAGGGTATATATCTGAGACTGAGAGTACTCACACAAATTTTTCGTTGTTTTACTTAGCGTGGTTTTTTGGGTTTGAGTCCTCAAAACTTGTGGTCATTTTGATGATGCAGGAAAGCAAATCCGGTGAGCTTGCAGATTACATTTCAGAATTTGTCTCTCTTCTCCCGAAATCCACCAGACGGGTTACTGAAGAACCTATCCCGGAAAAAGTTCAGAAAGTGTTAGAGGAAGCAAAGGCTGGTGGCGACCATGACCATCATCATGGCCACGGGCATGCCCATGCTGGTTACACGGATGCTTACGGTCTTGGTGAGGAATGGACTACTTGATATGCCTTTTGAGTTCTTGTTGCTTGTTATTATTATATACTATGTACTCTTAATTTTATGACTATTTTGAGATTTTTTTTATTTTTCTGGTTAAAGTCTTGAGATACTACAAAATATGAATCTGTGTGTTTTTTTGTAAGTCAGCAAATTTCATTAGAAAATCTCACCTCGTTATTTTTTTTACTACTTCTAGATTTCTTATGTCTGTGTCCGACTTATAAGAAATAGCCAATAAACTTATGAAAATTTATTAAAATTTTATTTATCCTTTAAAAATGCTAAGTCTCCTTAGCAAAAAAAAAAAAAATGCTAAGTCTCAAGCACACATATAACTTGCTTACATAATAGATGTGCACACAAAAAAAAAAAAAAAAAAAAAAAAAAAAACCAAATTAGGAACGATCGTCTATAACGTATATGTTATTTGGTTGGTTATGGTGCACAAATGCCATATATGCTTTTGGTGTTGATGTTTTCGCCTATACCTCATCGGTCATATTTACATCTTCTTATTATTACCTATGTACGTTTTCATTTCATGTTGATGCATTGGCATTAAAATCATCACTGATATGTTGTGTTTTTATCTGTTTTGAGTCTTTGTTTTCTTTCCTAGATCATATCTTTTATAGACTCAAAGTATGATTTTAGAGTCATTTAGTCCTTTATCGAATCTCTACAGGTTTTAGGAAGCTATGCTGGAGTTGGAGGCTTTTCGTATCAAAAACGGGCGTTCGGAGATGAAATGGGAATATGGTAATTCAAGACAACTCTGCTGGAAAATGGCATCAGGCAAATCTCATCAGGCAACTGCCTGACGCACAGTTCTGGTTTTCTGCCCAAATCTGCTGGAGAATGGCATCAGGCAAATCTCATCGGGCAACTACCTGATGCATAATTCTGGTTTCCTGCCCAAAAATCCGCTGGAGAATTGCATCAGGCAAATCTCATCGGGCAACTACCTGATGCATAATTCTGGTTTCCTGCCCAAAAATCCGCTGAAGAATTGCATCAGGCAAATCTCATCGGGCAACTGCCTGATGCCCAGTTCCGGTTTTCCTTAACCGAAATTATCTTCTATTTTCTGTAATTGGCTTTAAAAACCCGGAGACCTAATTTTTCAGAACACGTTCTTTTTTTTTTCTGCAACTTTTTGAGACTTCTCTCTGTAAGCACTTTGGGATTAGAGATTCATCCTTCTTGACAATTTGGAGAAGAAATCTAAACCCTATTTCATTTATATTCAATTGAACTATGTTTTCCTTCACATCTATTTCTGTTGTTTCTTTTGCAATGAGTGAGTAGTTCTCCAATTGGATTTTAGGGTTCTAAGTAGAAATTCAATGGATTAGTGAATAGATTGTCATAGGGAATTCTCCACCAATAGGTTCTTCAATTTACATGTTCTTAATGCTATAATAAGATTGATCACCCTGTTTTAGAACATAGGTTTTTCTATGCATCAAAAGTGCTCGATAGAATGCCTGAATGAATGTAAATTGAGCAATGTGTTTCTAGCCAACGAAAGTTGATGTTACATTGTGAAAGAAATGAACTAACTCGTTAATGCGAATTTAATTAGAAAACTACAAATGAAAGTTTAGTAGTAGAATAGTCGAATTTAGTGACTATTGTCTTGAGAGAGAGTTAGTCTAGAATTGTGTTTATAGTTGAGAACGGTTCTTCGTTTCTGAATTCCTTGTTTCGTTTATCCCGCTAGTCATTGTATTTTGAAATACCCGATGTCTTTAATTCATAAGTTTAATCGTCTATTTTATATACATTTTTATTTACAATTTTGAAAACCAAACAAAACAATTTTCTGCTTTAGCTAAGAACGAGTCTCAGAAATCTTCAATGTACCATTGGTTCTTGTTATTCGACCCCGTATATACTACCTTGCGGTTAAGTGTATCAGGTAATTACTCGAGAATTAAATCACCCAAATTATTCTGATTCTTAGTAAAATTATGAAAATCTATTATAGCTAGCAACAAGTTTTATTTGTGGAGGCATCCAGTTCATAAGATCTAGCTCAATTGCAAGTGAACAGACCATATAACATTGGCTGTAGTTCATAGGATCCCTCCTGTAGTGAGACATATCACTTACTTTCAAGTCATGACTGCATACTACTATAACATTGGCTTTAAGAATTTCTAAACATTATTTGTTGTACAAGTGTTTTCAAAACAAATAGATATTTTTCAGCTTACAAGCTTCTAGCAGTAATGTTTTTTTTTTGTTTTTTCTAATCATTTCTTTGAAAATGTTAGACATGTAAATATAACTTTAACAAAAAAAAAACAGGGTTGTTCTATTCTAAATATATGTGAACATATGTCTAAACAATGTATAACTAGAATATTTAGATTTAAACCACATATAACCAAAATAGTTGCATTGACTTATGTATCTTAAACTTTTGTAAGTAAATGGCAAAAAAATATCATATGAAAGATGATTGATATATTATAGTGGATTTGCTCGAAGTGTGTTCTTTGTTTTGTAGACTATTGCATTTTATTTTTTGCATTATCATTAAATATATTTGATCTAATTCTATTATAATAATATTTAAATACATGTACCATATGCGATTATGGTAAACAATTCTCACAATTAATGATTAAACGACATAAGTCACTCCGCAATATTCAAATCCACAACGAATGGTTATGCATGTACAATATTTTCACGATGGATATGTTTTCAACAAGTTGAGTTAAGGTTCTACAAGCATGTTTATGGTGGCCAACGATTTTTAAAGACGCACAGTTCATTTCGAAGTGCGATTCATGTCAAAGGAAAGGGAACATTAGTAGGCGGAATGAGATGCCCAAAAACCCAATTTTAGAAGTTGAGAATTTCGATGTTGGGATATAGACTTCATGGAGCCGTTTCCTTCATCATATGGTAATAGCTACATACTTGTGGCGGTTGATTATGTGTCGAAATCGGTTGAAGTGATTCTTTAATTTTCCCTCCAAAAATGTGATTCATTAATTTTTCCCTCCAAAAATATGATTCTTTAATTTCCCGGCTAAAAAAAGTGAATACACATTTTTCCACCAAAACGCGGATCCGTAATTTTCCCATCAAAAAAACACAGTACACATTTTTCCGTCATAAACACAGTTTCATAATTTTTTTGGCAAAAAATATGGTTTCAAAAATTTTCCGCAAAAAAATGTTTTATCCATATTTTATGTCATTAATAATAATATATGATAATAATTATTATTTATTATTTTATTTTTATGTATCAACTCAATTAACTATTTAAACCATCAAATAGATGTGTTTATGGGCTGATATGATCTATTTAACAAATGAGTTGGATCAACACTCATAACCAATCTATTTTGACATATCTAATTACATTATACTGTATAGAGAACTGTATATGTATTTAAATTAGATTTCCAAAAATAAATCAAGAATTCTTATCACATATTTTATTAAAAAATTGTTTTTATTTTTTTTAGTTTTTGTAAATTTTGTTATTGTTTAAAAGAATTAATTTATGACTAGTGAATTTATTGATTATCCTCACAAAATAATTTATGAAATATCCAATAATTTTATTAATATATTTTTAAATTAATTTATATTCATTCATGTAATGATGTAATTATATGAATCACAATTTAAAAATATATTTTATAATATACGTAAAATGTATCTCGTGGACATCATCTAGTTTGCTTATACATATTAAAAGCCTGTGGATGAGCTTCTTCTGCGGCGATCAAAAACGCCGTCGACGATAACCTCACCGGCGCCACCAACACCGCCGATCTATCAACCAAACAGAACCTCGCCGTTAAATTCTCTCTCCATGGCGCTTTCTTGCCGTGACACACTAATCCTTATCTTCCAGAAACTCACCGTCGCCGATCTAGCTCGTGCGAGCTGCGTTTGCAAGGTTTGGAACTCTGTAGCCACCGAAGACGATCTAGTGGTATCGGTTTTTAAATCGCCATGGCGGATCAAAGAACTTGTTGGAAGACCAGCTTCTAGTTCGTTTTGGAGAGATAATGGAATCTGGAAATTTGCTATTTCTCATCGGATTTGTCGTGGTGATAGTGTGACTAGCCTCGCCGTTAAATACTCCGTTCAGGTAACTATTGATTACCTCTTTCTTCTTCAATTAATTTGGAAATGTAATCTCAATTTTGTGTTCTTCGTAATCCTTTGCAACTTTTTTTGTTGAATTTAGATTTTGAGTGAGTTGATAAAACATATTAGATTGTTCAAAGGTTTTGCTATGTTGAATCTAGCTAAAGATTCAGTAACTTAAGAAGCTTTGTAGATCCTGAAGCAGACTGATTTGGTTTAAGGTTTGCTTAGAGATACTCTTGAAGCTAAATGCTTTCGTTTACTGTGTGTAAATGTCTGCATCTTTAATGTAGAAGAAGGATATACTAACTATTGTTTGAACTTCGTGTAACGATTTTGAGGCGTAAGTAAGTTGTTCTTGGTTGATTGGTTACACTATGAACTTTCAGGCTCTGTTTTTTTGGTATCTGATCTTGTTCTTTTTGTTTCACTGACGAGTATCCTAGGAACAGATTTTTTGTTTAGTAACTAGCTGTATATGTAGTCCGCATATTAGTAGTTTCATAGTTGCACCTGGGTAGAGACTAGTAGACGAGAGATAGAGTTTTACCGAAGACGGACTTTGACGTTCCCATACTTTGGATCCATGAATTTTAGTCTATATTAACAACATTATTAGTTCTTGACGGATTGTTATGGACGTTTTGCCTTACACAGTTGATACGGGCTTTCACATTGCAGGAAATTTGTAACATAAATGTTATGTAATATGGAGTTATTCCCTGTGTAAAATTTGAGATGTCTATGCTCTTGGTTAATCTTTCTAACATGTTGTTATTTTGTCCTTCTCTTTTAGCTTTCTGAGAGAATTAAGTTCCATTATCTGGATATTAGTTTTCATTTCATATGGCTTTCACCATATGTTTTTCCCTTCTCGTACCATGTCTACAAGTCTTATTTGTTTCTCTTTTCATATCGCCATTTTTTGTTTGATTACAAACTAAATTCATGAGCTTAACTTGAATCTAAATTCTATGAACTTAATTTGGATATTACACCTTTTCCTTGGACAATGTAGGTTATGGACATAAAGCGGCTAAACAACATGATGAGCGACCATGGGATTTACTCAAGAGACAGACTGCTTATCCCGATAAGCAATCCCGAAATTCTCGCAAACACTACGTGCTATGTAGAGCTAGATAAATATGCCAAGCGAGAAGTAGCCGTGCTTTACCTCGAAGGTGCGCCGAAGAGAGAACAACCTGTACCTGGTACGAATCAACAATCCAACTTATCAGCCGACGGAAAGCGAAGGCTAATTGAATCTCTAAGGAGAAGCATGCAAGTGGATGATGGAACCGCTCTATACTACTTGGCTATCGCTGAAGGGGATCCTAGATCCGCATTGTCTGAATTCTCTGCTGATCTCAGGTGGGAGAGGCAGGCTGGTCTCAACTAGGATCGGCAAAGTAAGCTCCTGAATGTGTGATCCAAAGGTAATTGAGTATTTATATATGCATATGACATAGCGCGCCATCTTGTTTCTTTACGAGATTAAATCAAGAATTTATAATTGTTATAGATTATTTAGTCATAAATTTCAAGTATACATATAATAATATAGTTACAAATAGATTATTAGTATGGGATTTGTTCTCTTGCAGGGTGAGAGCGTGACTTATCAGGAGTATGATTCAGGAATCAGAATGTAATTAGCTCCCGTATATAAGACTTATGGGGTGTGATTTATCGGTGTCCAATTCGAGCCGAGATTGATATATGTATATCCTTGCAAAGTCTTATCTTCCTGCTTCTTGTTGTTCATTTGGTGGTTAGTAATATTGTTGTCTTCTGGTACGAAATATACATCAAACCCTGTTAAGTATAAGTAATAAGTATACATAATAAAATCTACAAAGTTCTTCTTTTACGGTTATGGTGTGATTAATGTTGTGTTACTATTGATTTAGTTTTGAGTTGTGAATTTCTCAACACTGTGATTCTTATGTGTGAATTATTATCATTTCTGATTATTATACAAGAACAGTTATCAGTCCTTTTAAATTTGCAATTAAAAAAAAAAGAAAAAAAACCCGAAAAAACCGCCATCTAAGAACAGAGAAGGCTATAGCAAAGCTTCCTTTAACCCAAGCCTTTCTAGAGAATTAGGTTAATATTGGAAGTTGTTTTCTTATTAAGAGGGAGAGACCTTATATAGGCCACGATACATTGTGTAAAATGTAAATATCAAAACCTAAGCCAAAACACCAAATTAGAAACCAATTCTCACGTGCGACTATCCTCTTCAATGATACCTTATACCAAAACTTGTATCAAAAAGATGAAGAACATGGAGAGGGGGAATCATGTTCATTTGCTAAGACAGGTTATTATATCGCTTGAACATATGTCGATCTATCTACTTGCCATGTTAATCTACAATAAGTCAACTAAACCAGCCACCCTAGTGAACACTGTAGTACTAGCTCAAGCCAAACCAGTCACTTAGGTTAGATCAGGCAACATTATAGATAGGTATCAACTATAATTAGCTACTTGTTTAATTGGTGACAAACTCACCGCGCCATCATTTCATTATAAATAGAGGTTTGATATTACGCTAATTACAACAAATACATTGATATCTAAGTAAGTAATAGTCATGGCTAAGTTTTCTACCACCATTACCCTTATCTTGGCTGCTCTTGTTCTCTTTACTGATTTTGGTGAGTAATAGAAAATGTGTTCAAGATTTTCCTTTCATCTATGTTAATAATTAACCTTTCATATATATCCGCAGAAACACCGGTAATTGTGAAAGCAGAGCTTTGCAAAAGGGAAAGTGAGACATGGTCAGGACGTTGTGTAAACGATTATCAGTGTAGAGATCATTGCATTAACAATGATAGAGGAAATGATGGATATTGCGCTGGTGGCTACCCATGGTACAGAGGATGTTTCTGTTTCTTCTCTTGCTAATATACCAAAAGCTATTTGTTGCTCGTGTGTTTGTTTTACATAAAATAAGTCTGCTTCACTCCATGGAGTGACCTTATGACATGCCTATGTGTTTCAGCACTCGAATAAAGCTTAGTTACTTAAATCCTCTTTTCAAAAATAAAATAAATATATGCACTTGAGATGGTTCGTTCGTTTAATTGTCTCGGCGACCATGATAATGGATATTTAGGTTTAAAGATTAAAATCATTAACACTGAAAACATGGTTATTTCGTTTTGGTCAACAAATAAAATGGTACACAAATTACCTCCAAATTTTTGTTTTGTTGCGGAGACAAATTTTAAAGATAACATATCCTTCTAGAAGATGAAGATGAATATGAAGATGAATGTGAGCTAGCTAAACAGAAGATTATAATCACCAGATTTTATTTGATTTTTTGAAGGGCCACTTGTTTCTTTTATTATCATAATTATATATTTGGCATCATCAAATTTATTGTTATTTTTAGTAAATATTTACTTTTTTTTTAGAAAATTCTTTATACAATTTTGAAGTTCGTATTAAGGAACAGACCATAAGATTTTTCTTGATTCCGGTCACCAATTGTTTGTTTATTTTTTGGGCAAATCAATTGTTTCATTAAAAATTATGTCTCACATGAAAAATTACAACCAAACTAGAGAGAATACAAAATAACAAAGCAATAAATGCCTCAAAATCCACCAAAAGGAAGTTAAATTTTAACTAGTGCTAGATTGAAGATACTACCTAACAAACAAAACCAAAAAGGATAGAAAAAGAACGATCCCGAATGCAACCCGAAGGATTACAAACTATGCAATAAGGGTAGAAGAAACTAATGTCATTTCAATACCGAAGACCCCTAAGCATCCAAATAACTCCAAACAAGATGGAATTTTAGAAAGAGAAATTGGTAACAGATGCCAAGATGAGGAGGCTGAGCCCTAAAAAAAGATTGTACTTCTAAGCCACCTCTACAAAACCATAGATGCCAATACTAATGATGGGCCCAATACCCTTAACAATAGAAAAGGTGAGCACTTGTCTAACAAAGACCCTAAGGAGAGACGAGAGGAAGAGTGGGAAAAAGCAGATTCAGTGACTCTAGCAAAGGAGATCTGGCATCAGAAGCAAACATGGTGAAAGACAGATGGAGGAGAGCTTATGCATGGTTCTTTTAGGCGGTGGGGAGAAACGAGAGAGGCAGTGAAAGGAAAAGGGGCGGAGTAAGGCGGTAGCATGAAAAAGGGTCTTTGACAGAAATCCAATGGAGTACCTAAGACCAATGAAAAGAGTTTACATACTTCATGTGTCTTGGCTTATGTGCGGGGGAGAGTTTTTTAGTGCGAACTCTTCAATTCTAACCACCGATTTTAGTGGACATGTTTTATTAGTGTACCACTTTTGAAATATTTTATTATTGATTAACGCGTTAAATGTAAAAATAATAATTTCTACGACAAGCCAATTGATAATGATAAGGATAAGTTAAGAATGAAAATCAACTACAAAGTACCAAATCGAATAGATGAAGAGAAATAGTAGAGGAAAGACATCGGATTTCTTTTCTTAAATTTTTAAACATCACCTAGTACTGTAATATTTTCGTAGTGGTAAGATTTTCAGGAAATACCAACTTCTTTCGATTTACAATCACCAAAATCAGAAACTCAACGACACTAATGCTGTGTTGCACTCTCAAACTCGATGACTTAATAAAAGAAGTAGGGAAAGGAGGGCTGTATACTTGTGTTTTCTTTGTGAATTAGATGTTTAGAATGAGAGACAAGGCCCAAATGCCCAAAGTTCACAGAATATCACCTTAAAATTATGAGATTTGATTCTCGCATTGACGTCAAAAACGATTCCAACATTAATTATTGTCAATTGGTTTCAATTGGTTTTGTTGTTACAATACTCAAAATTTAAAGAAGATATTTGATTTAATCAATAATATTTGAGAAACAAGAATAATTCATAAATTTATTACAAAAGTTGTCAAAACCACTTTATTTAAAACAAGTTCGAACGTACATTAGATAGTACTAAAATATTTCATGTAAATTTAATTAGAAACTTAGCTATGCTAACAGCACAGTAAGAAAAAATGATGTTGTTAATATTTGACTGGCTGCTCTAATAAAGCTGTATTCATTTCGTGTAGTGCACGTCAACATCTTTCGATTCTGTGACGTGTAGGTTTTATCAGCACATGCACAAAACAATTACACTTTCTAATAATGGCAACGTTATCAATTATTATTCTATCATTTGCATTCATTCATAGGTGGGAAGTGGGAACCATTTCGAAATGATAATTTCTTTTATTTGTTTTTTTGTCAACTCATATATATAGACCAAATATATATATAATACGAGAAAACCGATCTATATATAATGTATTGGTACAAATCTATTGGAGGATATAGGTCCTACGAGCATAACCATGACAACCAAAAATAAACATAATAAAATATTAAGCTATAACACTTGTACGGTTTTGAACCTAGCAATCTCACGATTAACTCCCCACGAACTCGGTCTGATCAGTGATCATGCACGCAATTAATTGAACACAAAAATAGGAAACTAAAACATGAGAATCTACGAGATTTTCTATCTTTCAAAGGGTATATTTACGTGGAATCTTTAATGCATAATTTCATTATAAAATTAATTGAGTTTGAATTGGTCGACTCGGTGATATGTAAAACATTTCCAAAAGGATGAAGGAACATCTATACGAAGAAAATATGTATTCTCTTCTCGACTAGAGCTTATAACGACTTCAACATCAACTAGTTTCGGCTTGGTCTTGGTCTTATTCTGCAACCATGAACCAACCCACATTCACAAGTCAAATTGAGCCATTTCCAAACCAGCTTAATTAGCAAACCATAAGAATTAACAAGCTAATTAAGCCGGCTGAATTTTGAATTACTACAACCTACAATTTTTTTAATTATGTGAAATATTGAATATATATATATATATATATACATATATATATATATATTTTGAATTTTGAATTACTACAACCTAAAAATAGATATCCTTATAATTTTTTTCAATATATATATATTTTCAATATAACGATATCTATTTTTATATATATTGAAAAAATTATAACGATATCTATTTTTATTCATTTTAATTAGAGATTCTAAATCAAAAGAATCTCTTAATTGAGATTAATATTAATCTGTACAATATCATAGTAATTGTTTGTGATCTTAATATGTTATATGTGTATATATATATATATATGACTAGATCATCACCCGTACTAAAGTACGGGTTGAATTTTATTTATTACAAAATTTATATAATATATATATTAGAATTAAGTTTTAATATATTATAATAGTAAGTGAAAAAATATTAATTTTTTTGTCGGTTCCTATATACAATATTAGAATAAATATAGATTTTTTTCTATAATACTCAATTGTGGATAAAAAAATTTTAAGATATGAAAACGGAAAATAATTTTATTTTTTAAAAAGTAATATTTTTTGAAGAATGAGTTAATTTATGTTAACAACCACAAAATAGGATTGCATATATTTCAGTTATATCAAAAATTAAAATATCATAAATGAATCGCATATAAAACATAGATTATTTTGAATTAAATAAGAAAATTAGCTATTATTTTGAATTAATTTAGAAAATTCTTTTTCAATTTATAATTTTTTGGTTGTTGAAATAGAGATTTGTTTGAGCTAATCTAACTACAGAATTTGTTTGAGATTTATAATTACGGAATTTACCAATTATTCGCATAATCGAATATGTTATAAACATATATTTAGTATATAATAATACCAAAATTAACCCGTGCGTGGAGTCTATATTTTTATTTTAAAATCTCAATATTTCATTTTAAAATATTGCGTGCACAATCTATTATTCGTTAATCCTAAAATTGCTTGAGGAATCAAATTTTCAAATATTTAGAGGTGTCAAACCATATTTAAATGTTCTACACTATTTTTAAATATTCCAAATTAAAATCTTTAAATTTTTTTTTGTAGTTTATAAAATTATGAATTTCAAAAAACAAATTATATGAAATTAAATATAACTATTCAAATAGTTATAAGGATCAAAACTCATTTCATCATATAATATATTATATTTAATCCGCTACCTATTATAAATATTTTTAAAAATAATCAAATTAGAGTATTTATAATTTTTAACTTTTTGAACTATTAAGTATTGATGATATTCTCTAAAAATATCAAGTAAAACTTATTTTAATGTTGCAAATTAAAATATTTAAATTTTTATTGTAGTATATAAAATTATACATTTCAAAAAAATAAATGTATGAAATCGAATATAAATATTCAAATTCTGACCCGTTGCTCAGTCGGAATTTCTGTTGAATTTATTTTGTGTGAAAGAAATATATTACTCAAGTCTGAACTTTTGACCCGTTTAATTGTTTATTTTATAGATTGAACAATTTATATGCATTTTTAAAAATGCAAATCTTGGTATATGCAGAAAAAAAAATTACTTTTTTTATTATGTAGATGATATGATGATTTATTTGTTTCATATAAATATAATCATATAAAGATGAGAGGTGAAGTTTAATGATTAATAACAAATTAATATGGTAAGTTAGATATCAAATCTTATATGTTCATTTTTATTGGTCATTTAAAAAAAAATAACAAATTTTCGTTTTATAATTTAATTAAATTAATTAAATGACATAAATTAGTATTTTACTTGTTTATCCTTAATAAATTGAATGAAATTTGTTCTAAAAGAAGATTTTTGTAATGGCATTTTTAAGTAATTTTTTACAAAAGGGAATGTTAGTTAAGGGTATCTTATATAGTGTACTCCCCAAATAATAGTATAGGATTTGTGGCAAGAACATTATATAGTTCTACTTATTATGCTATGAATAATGTTAATCACAGTTTTATAACTTTTATTCAAACTGACAAATGTTTGATATGTTTTATACTTTCTAATATGTATTTAAGAAAACGCAACTAACAACCAAACATTTTAAATACCTCAAGGTTAATTATTATATTAAAGTATTATCAAATTAAAACTTCCCATACTGTATATTTTTAATTAATAGTTAT